CAGAGAGGACTTTAATGTGCTTGACGAAGGCGGGAATTACGATCACTGGAAATATTCCATACGGTATACGGAACATCTAAGTCATTTACCGATGATCCGTAATGTAGCGCACGGATACTACGCCGTTAAACCGGACAACCATGGCTACGTCATCAGTTCCAGGCATCTGACTTGCTTCTTCCTTGATTTTGGCTGTTGTAAGTGGAAACCGTTTGCGATTCTGTTCGCTCCATCTCTCACAAATCAGTATACAATAAGTTTCACTTTTTCCTCGCTTAACGCGCATAAATCACTAACACAGATAAAAAATTGATCAATAATTTCAGAAATTTTATAAAAATGTTTAAAACAAGAATAAAAAAAAACATAGCATAAGATGATTTATGCAAAATCAAAATATTTTAATTCGCAATATTTAATTAATTAATTTTTTTCTATTTAATTAATTTATTTATTTATGCATGAGAAATATGATTATTTATTAGCAGTAAAGCTTTACTCTTTTTTGGCTCATTTATCCATTTATTAGTGTTCCTAAACAAAACTTTTAAGTATGATTCTTATACAATTATTTATAACCGTCCCAAGCATAGCAGCACTTGCAAAGCTCTAAAAAAGTGATTATATGCGTTTTTTTAGCGCTTTATTAACGCTTTGTAAGCACTGTGTGTTATTTCAGTGATCTATTCTTACAAGCTACAGAAATAGTAATATTCTTTTGCAAATAAATGCATTAACGATCGCTCTAAATAAAATACCGCTTCCAAAGAATCTTAGCACTATTTTTAAATAATCAACTTTTGTTCACGTGATTTCGTTCATGCGTTCTGTTCGGTTCTGACCGAAAAAAGCATAGCAGGATAAGTATATATAAGCTGCCCCCGGATTTATTCATTTTTTAAAGCTATATATTATCTTTTCGATCATTTTGAAAATTAAATATATTATACTAGATAGAAGACGAAGATCGTTTTAATAAAAAATGGTAGTAGTGTCTCAAGTACATTTTATTATAAAAAAAAAATTTAAAGAAAAACTCTGGGAATTTTTTTCAATCGTTTTCGAAAAAAATTTTCATAATTTTTTTTAAATATTGCATCATTAAACCTTACAACACATTTTTTTTCGTCGAAATTGGTTCATCCATTAAAGAGAAAATTCAATTTTCACATTTTATCTCTATAAGTCCCATAAAAATTTTTTTTTCAGATATAATACATATTTTGCGAAATTTATTCTTGCATCGCTGTTAATTTATGATAAAAATCTCAACCATATAAATTTGAGGACAACCTACATACACTTATCCTGCTATGCTTTTTAATGCATAAACTCTCATCTACGTGTTGAGATGAATTGGATATTCTAATCAGCCTGTTTACTTTTTAGTGGAATCTATTTCGCAATTCAGATTCGAAGTACATGGCACGGAAGATACGAGATGCATTGAGACCGTACAATATGAATGCCCAATCGCATTCTCGCCACTATGTCACAGGGAGATCATGTATCAACGGAAAGAAATCCTGAAGAGGCTGAAATCTGAGTTTGCTGTTAATAACAGAAGAGAGAATTAAAATCACTAGCGAAATGTTACTTACACATGATGTATTTCTAGCTCATTGCAATCTATTTTTTTCTTTATTAAAATAAAATTTTTAATTGTATGGTTAAATCATAAAGTAATATATGAACGCATTATACCTATTTTTTTTAAAAGTATTTTGCATCAATTTTAATGGACTGTTATTTGTGCGAACCATTAAATTATGCTTTCTTCTGATCAAGAATTGAAACGTATTCTCTAAAATTTTTAGAGCAAAAATCTTTGCAGAATCAGAATTATTTTTTATTAAGACTGGTTCAGTTTTCACTCTTTAAAATAAGATTCCAATCTAATGCATTTAAAGAGTAAGTTAAACCCTTTTTATTTAAAAAATTCACAGATTTTAGAGGGAATTTTCGAACTCTATAATACATGTTACAATATTTTGTATGTATTTTAATGTATAATTTATATACCGTGCCCGTCAAAAATTCCGGGCAACCTAAATAATTTCTGAATGTTTCAAGTTATAGAATTAGCTAGGAGACACGATAGTGTCTCAAAAGACAAGCGACATTATTGTGTTCCTTTAATTCCAATCTATAATAGGTGTTTTCAACTTTAAACCATAAAAAGTTAACCGACTACAGTCAAATGCGAGGAAAATAATTAGCATTGTTCATTTTGTCTTTCGGGAGCTGCGTGGGAGCTCCCGAATGAATCCAACATACTTAAAATGTATAGGATTCACACTATGGCTATCCAAAATTTACTGCAAGTACTAAAAATCTATAGTTAGTAGTGCTACCTAAATATCACCCCAGCAAATGAGAATGGGTTGAAATGAATTGAAATGGATTCAAATTTTCAGAAATATTGATTCATAAATGTTAAAATGAATGCTTTTCAATCCTGAATGCATTTTTATTCATTTATAGGAATTGCATGGAGCATATGCCTTTCAATCTAAAAATAATATTAGCTTTTTCTGTGCACACAACACACACAATTGTGAATACTGTTCAAAATTTTGAATGGAAATGCAATTTTTCAATCCAATTGAAATCTAATTGAATCTAATTGAATTCAATTAAATCCAATTAAATCCAAAAAAAGTATTTACTATTTAAAATACGCATTGGGATAGAAAAAAATTTCAATCCATTTTAATCCATTCTCGTTTGCTGACACTCTATCCTTGTTATTTACGGAACGTTGAATAAGTATGATATGAAAAATTGTGAGTTATATTTGATATAGAAAAAATAAAATGATAGAAATTTTGTATTTCTATATTGCAAAATGATTTACATTTGCATTTACATTTACATTTGCGAAATTTAAATAATATATTAATGTGTGTGTGTGTGTGTGTGTGCGCGCGCGTGCGTGCGTGCGCGCGTGCGTGCATGCGTGCGTGCGCGCGCGCACATGACGCATGCAAGAGCTAGTTGACATATAAATAAAAAACATATAAATAAATTCTTCATTGATATAGTAATGAAATAATTACTTTCAAACAAATTAACACAATATAATAGCTACAAATTATATTTTAGGAGGAATTATTATATTTTATAATTATATTTTAGGAGGTATTTAGGAGGTATTATCCGAAGCGGCTTTATTTTGAAAATACAATGTTCGTCCAAATTGAAGGAAAAATTTGGTTTTTTTTTTCACAAATTTCGAAAATCGCTCGGATTATTTTAACGAAATTTATGTATATTTAAATGATTTCACCAAATTAACCCGAGTGTTTTTGAAATTTCTGAAAAAAAAAAGAATTGAATTTTTTCGACTTTGACATCCTATATATCTTTGAAGTTAATGGTTATTTTACAATGTGCTTTTTATTTTCTGTTTCTTACTTTTTGCTATTTTTTACTTCTTGTCTTTTTACTTCTTATCCGGTTTTTTGTTTTATTGGGAGTATAAATTAGTCCGTTTTTTTGTGTTCAAAAATGCATTTATTTCAAAACAAAATGAACAGATCAATTAAAGTATTGTCCATCATTGCCTACTACTTTTTCCCATCACTCAGGCAATTTTCGAATTCCATCTCGAAAAAATGATTCGTCTTTGGAGGCGATTCAATTTTGGAGGCAATTTTCGATTTCTGTGAAAGAAGTGAATCTGTGACTTGTCAAATCGTACTGCATCCTTCGGAACAATCAGTAATCAGAAGGAGCAATGTCCAGCGAGTAAAACATCCCATTTGAGCGTTTCCAAATATTTTTTTACGATTTTAGCGACATGAGGTCGAGCGTTGTCATGAAGAAGAATAACTTTATCATATCTTTGCTCGTATTGTGGCCATTTTTCTCGCAATGCACGGCTCAAACGAATCAATTGTAGCCGATACCGATCGCCCGTAATGGAATCGCCAGGTTTCAGCAGCTCATAGTAAACAAGATCCTTTTGGTTCCACCAAATACAGAGCATGATCTTCGAACCATGAATGTTCGGCCGTGGTGTTGATGTTGAGGTCGATGGCAACATAGTATTTTTCAGGCTTAGCATAGTATTTTTTCTTCTTGGGGTTGTCATAGAATATCTACTTCTCATCTCCAGTCACAATCCGATGCAAAAAATCTTTTTTCTGTTGTCTTTGAATCAGCTGTTCGCAAGTGAAAAATCGCCTTTCAACGTCTCTCGGTTTCAGGCCCTTGTTTTTGACTCAATGTCCTTGTTTTTGAATCATTCCCATGACTCTGAATAGAATGACTCGTACAGAAATGGCTTGAATTATCTCTAATTCTTTGTCTTCGAATTTTTTTGGCTGTCCAGAGCGAAGCTTGTCTTCAACGCTGAAATCTCCATCCTTGAAACGTCGAAATCATTCCCTACATGGATTTATCAGTTGGAGCAGTGTCACCATAACTTCGACAAGCATAGTTCGATGGACTTCAGCCGCACTTTTCTTCCAATTAAAGCAGAAAATCAAAACCTCCCGCAAATGCTGCTTGGTTGACACAAAATTCGACATTTCAAACTCAATAAAAATTAAGATTTTTGTATGAAACTCAAAACGATATAAACTGAATATTATTAGCAGATGTTTAACCTCTCTGAAACCGCCAAAATCAGTTGTCATTATGAACTATTCATAACAGCTGGAGTCATCTTTAGGGAAACGGACCGAACTAATTTGTACTCCCAATATGTCGTTCGAGATAAAAACGAACTTCAGAAGAAACCGGAAATACGTAGCAAGAAATATAATTGTTGATAAAACGGTTGCAAAGAGAGAAGAAGCAAGAGACAAAAAATTAAAAAATAAGAAAAAAAGCACATTGTAGAATAGGCTTCAGTTATTTGGAACATATGAAGTTTTGTCTTCAATTAATCGCCCTTGAACTTTTTTAGAATACTCAAAGATTATTGTATATTGTAAAAATAATATATTTTTTTAGCACCATCGCTGCAGGTTTCTCGAATGGTTACATCGGACTGTGGCGTCTTACGACTATCTCACCTCTGTTGCTCAATGTACGGATGAATACAAAATTTATAAATGTTTATCAACATTTCTTTGCTCATTACAATGCAATTACTAGTAAGTATAAACTCATATCATCATCTCATATAAGGAGAAAGTGTATATGTAAAAACATATTGTCTTGTCTTTTTGCATAGTGATAGCATTTGTTCCGTATGATAAAAGTCGATTCCTCGCTTCCGCGAGTGTAGATAAATCGTATAAATTTTGGGACTTGGAAGAAACGAGTGCACCGCAAAGTTACATAAAAAAAGGCATAGTATCGAATGGTGCATGGATGATGAATTGGCCATGTGCAATTCTTAGTTTCGACGATGCACTTGGGTAAAATTTATTTGTTGCAAGCAAGAATGATAATTGATAACAATCACAATTCCTTCTGATGTGATTATTTCTTCAGATATCATTATACATATTCCATGATAGTACCGTTGAGAGAATATGGATACAAATATTGCCCAATTTTAGCAACCAACTCGCCAACTTACGTAAGAATATCATATTATCTTTGCTTGTCTTTTTCAATTAATTGTACATTCTTCTAAATAACATTTAACTTCTTAGGGTCTCGCTGTTTCCGATCACGCAAATAGTATTGCATGGCTTTAGCTGGAGAAGTAATGACTGTCTTTCCTCATCAACTATTGTATACAGAAAAAATATTGCCTAAGAAAAGACAGGTAAAAAATTATACCTTCTTACATCGTCATATTCATAAGATTTCTGATTTACAGTTACATATTTTATTATAGTATCTTATTACTATATATATTTTTGTATATATATTTTTTTTGTTTATAACAGTTGAACTCTTTCATTGAGACGGTGGATTTCTTAAACAGCAACATAAAGATAATGAAAATAAAAATAAAGATAAAAAGTATTCCAAGGAATATCACTATATGCCAGAAACCTATAACGAATGCAATAATCGTTTTGGAATCATCTTCCATGATAATTTAATGATAAGTTATCAGACTTATTTTTTTTTTCATTCTTTTTATTTCTAATTTTAATTCAATTCAATTTTCTACAGGATTTGGAAAAATATATCGCTAGGAATAAACCAAATAAGGATACTTTGAATAATGACAAACTGATGTCTATCCCTATTGAGCAATATCCATTTACTTCTGCAAACAGGGTATACGTCAATAATATTTTTACCTACTTTTCTTTTAAACATAACTAAAATATACGTTTTAAAATATAATTAAAATATGTATTAATACGTTTTAAAAGTCATGTATTTTGTTTATAGTTACATTTTCCATATGAAAATGTAACTAGAAACGAAGGATTAATAAAAGGTGAAATAATACATTTTCAAATATTTTTTTAGATGGCTTGGAATCCAAATGCGTGGAGTTATCTATGGCTTGCAACGGGCTATCAAAACGGCTTAGTGAGATTATTCAACTTGAATTTCATGTCTAAGTACCGTGATTTGAACACTTTACTACAGGCGCATGAAAAGTCTACGCTTGACAAAAAAGCACAAGTTAGCATCGTTGCCACATAGACAAGAGAGATAGAGAATTTTATAGATTATCCTTTGTTTATAAAAAAAATCTTGTATATAAAATCTGAAATAAATTTTTGCCCAAGAAAAATTTTCTCCTATGATGTATCCGGCCAAATTTTTGCGAGGCGCATTAAGGGATCCTATTTTACTCGCCATTTCCGAGATAAACTTATTGCCGGCCCTGGAATACCTTTACATTCACACAACCATGAGGCGTAGCGAAAAAAATAATACCGGATGAGATCCAGTATGGGATCGGAGCTCGACAGAGTCGCTATCTCGCCGGCGAGATATCTCCTATCGCTCTCTTTCGACATTGCTGAACTTCGAGTGATAACTTTCAACCGGAAGTATTTACTACCTGCGCCAATCGGACAATCCTTCCAAAAGCGGTAAGTGCGAAATCTCATTTATTTAAAAATATTTTGTATCTCTCTAATAATCGCTTTGACACATCGAACTCTTGCATTCTGTGTTGTATCTTGTTTCTGAAAAGGATCGTGTTTTTGGGATACAAAATGTATTATTCTCCGTCCGCTTCGCTCATGTTATCTGAAAATAGACATTTCCTAATGTATATATTTTAATATCATAGTGTTTAATATATATAGTATCTTTATAATTATTGTATATCGTGTTTTTTATAATTGTAATTATAAAAATATGAATAATATCACGTGTTTAATTCGATAATATTTTTGAAATTTCATTTTCAAGATCGATATATCATAATTGCTTAATTTTAAAAAAATTTTGAAAAATATAAAAATAATTTTTGGAAAGATTTAAAGGGGGGAAAATTATTGAAGATATTTGAGAAATATTATAAAAAATAAATGCTGCAAAGTCTAATGATCTTTGATGTCCAAAAATTTTAAAAAGCCAGCAACTCGATTTTATATTCAAATTTGATCGATACACATAAAATGCGAATGAGTTTCGAATGATTTAATTATCAAAAAAGAGAATTGACCTGTAATTTGTTTTTTTCTTTTTATTGATACAGAAGATGAGTTTCAATCCTATGAAATGGAAAACGAGATCTATTTTATATAGCTTTCTAGGAATTTTACTTCTTTATGTACTATTTGTTTATAAGAAGAAACATCAAGTGATGTTCGAGGGCATCATAAATAAGTCAGATCCCAAACTAGTGTGGGAGTTCGTGGCTGATTTTAGCAACATGAAAAAATTAAATCCAACAATGTAAGTAGGAATCAAACAATATCTTCAAATAAAAAGAATCAATGTTGTATTAATAAAAAGAAGAAAAAAAGAGAGTATATTATAAATCAGGAATAGATATAATTGATGATTGATGAATAAATAAAATTTGTAGGGGTGTGCAAATTAATTCGAATTTGAATCGAATCAAATCGTAGTGGATTCGATTCGATTCGTTTTCAAATCTAAGAGATTCGGAACCGAATAAGTTCGAAATTTCGAATCATCAATTGATGATTCGACGCCTATTTTATATGCTTTATTTATGAGTATCTTTCTCTCTTTCTCTCTCTCTCTCTCTCTCTCTCTCTCTCTCTCTCTCTTTCTTTCCTATATCTCCTGCGACCAATCTTGTTGATACAGTACATATCAATCTTCATGCAGGCGCGCTTATTGGCTTACATTGTGAAGAAAATGCACTGCTACGATTAATGTAAAGCATTTTAAACTTGATTGGCTGCAACAAGAATTAAGAAATGTTATTGGATTTTTCTATCCTATAGCTAATCAATAAACTTAAAATCTTTGTTGTACGACAAATGTATAAATAGTATTATTAAGGTGTTGATATGGTTTTCTGATTGGTTCATAACAATAAGACTTTATATATATATAATTTATACACATATATATATATATATTGGGAGTACAAATTAGTTCGGTCCGTTTCCTTAAAGATTGCTCCAGCTGTTGTGAATGGTTCATAGAGACAGCTGATTTTGACGGATTGATTTCAGAGAGATTAAACATCTGCTAATAATATTCAGTTTATATCGCTTTGAGTTTCATACAAAAATCTTGATTTTTAGTGTGTTTGTTGTTGAAATGTCGAATTTTGTATTAACCAAGCAGCATTTGCGGAAGAATTTGATTTTCTGCTTTAATTGGAAGGAAAGTGCGGCTGAAGCTCATCGAATGCTTGTCGAAATTTATGGTGACACTGCTTCAACTGATAGATCATGTAGGGAATGGTTTCGACATTTCAAGGATGGAGATTTCAGCGTTGAAGGCAAGCCTCGCTCTGAACAGCCAAAATATTCGAAGACAAAGCATTACTCGAAGAAGATCAGAGATCAAACGCAAGAGGAGCTTGCAGAATTATTGGGGGTAATTCAACAAGCCGTTTCTGTACGATTGAGAGCCATGGAAATGATTCAAAACAAGGAAATTGGGTCAAAAACAAGGGCCTTAACTGAAATCGAGAGACATTGAAAGGCGATTTTTCACTTGCGAACAGCTGATTCAAAGACAACAAAAAAAAGATTTTTTGCATCGGATTGTGACTGGAGATGAAAAGTGGATATTCTACGACAACCCCAAGAAGAAATAATACTATGCTAAGCCCAGTCAATCGTTGCCATCGACCTTAATATCAACACTACGGCCGAACATTCATGGTTCGAAGATCATGCTCTGTATCTGATGGAACCAAAAGGATCTTGTTTACTATGAGCTGCTGAAACCTGGCGATTCCATTACTGGCGATCGATATCGACTACAATTGATTCGTTTGAGCCGTGCATTGCGAAAAAACGGCCAGAATACGAGCAAAGATAAAGTTATTCTTCTTCATGACAACGCTCGACCTCATGTCGCTAAAGTCTTAAAAAAATATTTGGAAACGCTCAAATGGGATGTTTTACCGCAGGACATTGCTCCTTCTAATTACTGATTGTTCCTAAGGATGCAGTACGATTTAGCAAGTCACCGGTTCACTTCTTTCAGAAATCGAAAATTGCCTCCAAAATTGGATCGCCTCCAAAGACGAGTTATTTTTTTCGAGATGGAATTCGAAAATTGCCTGAGAAATGGGAAAAAGTAGTAGGCAACGATGGACAATAATTGATCTGTTCATTCATTTTGTTTTGAAATAAATGCACAAAAAAACGGACCAAACTAATTTATACTCCCAATATATACTTGTGAATATCGTCCTATGATCAGTCATTCATAGTTTGTCCTCATTTTAAAACCGTTTTAAGATTTTAATCTAAATGATATTAGTAGTTGTTCACGATTTAATGTATATTATTATTTCTTGTCAACACTTTATTATTTTTTTAATTATGTTAGCAATGAGATATCGATTATATTTGTACAGTGTATCGGGAAACTCAATGAGTTCGTTCAATTTGCATTGAAAAAGATTCGAAGCTGGATCGAAACGTATGTTAAGACATTAGAACTATTAAATCTTATTATGCATTGACATCCTATGTTTGGTTCCAAAAAGCAACTTATGGACTAAAGATTAATCTTAATGGCTTTGTAGCTAATATAGTCGGTTCTTATTTTATGATCATTTTAAGTATACTTAAAACAGTTTTAAAATAATAATAATGTCTTAAAATACTAATGTGTCTTAAAATACTAATAAACTTTCTGATTGGTTCATAATATCTTAAGATTATATTTAAGATCCAACTATGAATACTGGCCTGTGATTGACTTACAACATCTTGAAATTATATTAAAAAACAATTCTCAAATATAAGAACATGATTATGGCCAATATTCATAGTCAGATCCTATATTTAAAACCGTCTTAAGTTTAGCCTTAAGGTATCACGAATCAATCAGAGGGCCGCATTAGTGTTTTAAGACATTACTTAAGACAGTCTTGAAATAAGAACGGCTATGAATACTGGCTTATATGAATAATATCAGCCATAGATTCAAGAATGTAAGCTCTGATTCATTCGTTTAAATTCATGATACAGAGAGGACTTTAATATGCTTGACGAAGGCGGGAATTACGATCACTGGAAATATTCCGTACGGTATACGGAACATCTAAGTCATTTACCGATGATCCGTAACGTAGCGCACGGATACTACGCCGTTAAACCGGACAACCATGGCTACGTCATCAGTTCCAGGCATCTGACTTGCTTCTTCCTTGATTTTGGCTGTTGTAAGTGGAAACCGTTTGCGATTCTGTTCGCTCCATCTCTCACAAATCAGTATACAATAAGTTTCACTTTTTCCTCGCTTAACGCGCATAAATCACTAACACAGATAAAAAATTGATCAATAATTTCAGAAATTTTATAAAAATGTTTAAAACAAGAATAAAAAAAAACATAGCATAAGATGATTTATGCAAAATCAAAATATTTTAATTCGCAATATTTAATTAATTAATTTTTTTCTATTTAATTAATTTATTTATTTATGCATGAGAAATATGATTATTTATTAGCAGTAAAGCTTTACTCTTTTTTGGCTCATTTATCCATTTATTAGTGTTCCTAAACAAAACTTTTAAGTATGATTCTTATACAATTATTTATAACCGTCCCAAGCATAGCAGCACTTGCAAAGCTCTAAAAAAGTGATTATATGCGTTTTTTTAGCGCTTTATTAACGCTTTGTAAGCACTGTGTGTTATTTCAGTGATCTATTCTTACAAGCTACAGAAATAGTAATATTCTTTTGCAAATAAATGCATTAACGATCGCTCTAAATAAAATACCGCTTCCAAAGAATCTTAGCACTATTTTTAAATAATCAACTTTTGTTCACGTGATTTCGTTCATGCGTTCTGTTCGGTTCTGACCGAAAAAAGCATAGCAGGATAAGTATATATAAGCTGCCCCCGGATTTATTCATTTTTTAAAGCTATATATTATCTTTTCGATCATTTTGAAAATTAAATATATTATACTAGATAGAAGACGAAGATCGTTTTAATAAAAAATGGTAGTAGTGTCTCAAGTACATCTTATTAAAAAAAAAAATTTAAAGAAAAACTTTGGGAATTTTTTTCAATCGCTTTCGAAAAAAATTTTGATAATTTTTTTTTAAATATTGCACCATTAAACCTTACAACACATTTTTTTTCGTCGAAATCGGTTCATCCATTAAAGAGAAAATTCAATTTTCACATTTTATCTCTATAACTCCCATAAAAATTTTTTTTTCAAATATAATACATATTTTTTCGAAATTTATTCTTGCATCGCTGTTAATTTATGATAAAAATCTCAACCATATAAATTTGAGAACAACCTACATTCACTTATCCTGCTATGCTTTTTAATGCATAAACTCTCATCTACGTGTTGAGATGAATTGGATATTCTAATCAGCCTGTTTACTTTTTAGTGGAATCTATTTCGCAATTCAGATTCGAAGTACATGGCACGGAAGATACGAGATGCATTGAGACCGTACAGTATGAATGCCCAATCGCATTCTCGCCACTATGTCACAGGGAGGTCATGTATCAACGGAAAGAAATCCTGAAGAGGCTGAAATCTGAGTTTGCTGTTAATAACAGAAGAGAGAATTAGAATCACTAGCGAAATGTTACTTACACATGATGTATTTCTAGCTCATTGCAATCTATTTTTTTCTTTATTAAAATAAAATTTTTAATTGTATGATTAAATCATAAAGTAATATATGAACGCATTATACCTATTTTTTTTAAAAGTATTTTGCATCAATTTTAATGGACTGTTATTTGCGAACCATTAAATTATGCTTTCTTCTGATCAAGAATTGAAACGTATTCTCTAAAATTTTTAGAGCAAAAATCTTTGAAGAATCAGAATTATTTTTTATTAAGACTGGTTCAGTTTTCATTCTTTAAAATAAGATTCCAATCTAATGCATTTAAAGAGTAAGTTAAACCCTTTTTATTTAAAAAATTCACAGATTTTAGAAGGAATTTTCGAACTCTATAATACATGTTACAATATTTTGTATGTATTTTAATGTATAATTTATATACCGTGCCCGTCAAAAATTCCGGGCAACCTAAATAATTTCTGAATGTTTCAAGTTATAGAATTAGCTAGGAGACACGATAGTGTCTCAAAAGACAAGCGACATTATTGTGTTCCTTTAATTCCAATCTATAATAGGTGTTTTCAACTTTAAACCATAAAAAGTTAACCGACTACAGTCAAATGCGAGGAAAATAATTAGCATTGTTCATTTTGTCTTTCGGGAGCTGCGTGGGAGCTCCCGAATGAATCCAACATACTTAAAATGTATAGGATTCACACTATGGCTATCCAAAATTTACTGCAAGTACTAAAAATCTATAGTTAGTAGTGCTACCTAAATATCACCCCAGCAAATGAGAATGGGTTGAAATGAATTGAAATGGATTCAAATTTTCAGAAATATTGATTCATAAATGTTAAAATGAATGCTTTTCAATCCTGAATGCATTTTTATTCATTTATAGGAATTGCATGGAGCATATGCCTTTCAATCTAAAAATAATATTAGCTTTTTCTGTGCACACAACACACACAATTGTGAATACTGTTCAAAATTTTGAATGGAAATGCAATTTTTCAATCCAATTGAAATCTAATTGAATCTAATTGAATTCAATTAAATCCAATTAAATCCAAAAAAAGTATTTACTATTTAAAATACGCATTGGGATAGAAAAAAATTTCAATCCATTTTAATCCATTCTCGTTTGCTGACACTCTATCCTTGTTATTTACCGAAACGTTGAATAAAAAGATGATATGAACATCCAGGTGGGAATCTGAGATGTGAAAATAACTGTTAAGGTTCTATATTAATTACAAGCTGATCGTAAGTTTGTTGCAATAGTCAATATGAAGTGTTGATTTCAAAATACAAACTTCAGATTGATTGTTGCAACAAATTTTGCGATCAGCTTGCAATTAATATATATAAAGTTCGTGGGGTTTTTTTAATACCATCTAACGGGAAAAACGCCACGAACTTTTTCCCATACCTAATAGAACCGGCTTCCTCTCTGGCTGGTATTCATATAGTCAGATCTTATATTCAAGAATGTCTTAAGTATAGTTTTAAGAAGTACGAATCAGTCAGAGGGCCGTATTAGCGTCTTAAGACATTCTCGTACGTCTTGAAAAAAAACCCAATATCCATAACGCTAGAAATCGGTCCGAGACCTCGAATAAAAAAAAAATTGACTATTCGCATTGGTCTGTGACCAAATTGTTCAAATGTAATTTGTTTCTTTCTCTGTCCGACATCTCGGGATCGATTCTGTATCTTGAAATGAGGTGAAAATTATAAAAGTGAACGAATTTACTAGAATACTGATTATTTCATTGGTCAATACTTAGTAAATTTGCTCGCTTTTATAATTTTCACCTTGTTTGAAGATACAGGATCGACTCCCTCGGACCAATTTCAAGCATCGTGGACATCGAGCTTAAGAATGGACTATGAAAACCTAGACTCGATACAGCGTTCTGCTTTAATTACACTGATTACACAAATTCTTTGTTTTACAAATACAAATTCACTGCTTTAAAAACAACAATTCATTGTTTTAAACACAAATTCTCTATATATTGATAATGAATTAAAGCAGAACGTATAGTATACACAGCTCTGTATCGAGTCGAGATGATAGTTACCTTAGACTCGTTTCCACCAATGTAGAATAACTTTAATCTTGGTTCAACTTACTCTTCATCTTTTTTTCAATTTTTAGAACTAGAAAAAGACGAAGAATAAGTTGAACCGAGATTAAAGTTAATCTATATTGATGGAAATAAGCATCAATCTTTAAAGTCTCGAATTTTAACGCTTAATAATTTTATTTACGAGGCCTCGTTTTTCTGCCAGAATTCTTTCATTTTAAGTGAAAACGTCGTACATTTTATTAAAATTTTGGATGGAGATATTCTAAATAATTACCGTAAGGCATAATTTATAAAGTAGCGGGAACAGCCATCTTCTTGCCTTTTGTCTGCTATTGGCTGAAGGTCAGTTAGCAATTTAGTATAGTAGAGTTAAGTAGAGCACTAGAAACGAAACATCTGTGGTTGCAGCACTTGTAGCGATGTATGGGATCATAAGATACTCAATTGTTTGTAAATATTTTACCAATATATATACTTATTTCATATTTCTGCACATTTCTATTCAGCGTGGCGTGAAGTGATGTGAAATCCGATCCAGTGAGGCGACCGGGTTGCTCATCTCTATATGCAAATCGTTTGTCGCAACTTTTAGTTTTTGATTGACAACTAACCGATAACGCTTTACTTCTCTCTGAGAAAGTCGCGAAAATCAAGAAATTTGATGCAATTTTTTGTCGTATACTTAATTCTGAATATGTAAATTAGCGGGTTGTATTTAGCCGCGATTCTGAAACTTATTTTGTACTTATTGCAATTATGAAATATTAATTTTTTAACTTGATTCCATATAAAATTCACAATGCGTGAGTTTTATATAAGATTAAGTTATAAAGAATTAATAACTTGTTTAACAAATAACTTCGATAAATATACATACAATTTTGTATTCAAGAAAAGTGCGGAAAAATATATAAGCTACAAATATTCATGTACAAGATATCGAGTGTTCATCTTGCAGATATATGGATAGATTAAGATTGAGAAGGAACAATGTCATTAACGTCAGCAGCTACTCCTCGAAAATTGCCAATCTTTGTGTTTCCACAAAGTATTACATTCTACTTGGACGACCAGTCCACCCACAAGCAAGTGTTAACTTTGTATAACCCATATGAATTCCCTGTAAAATTCAGAGGTGACTCTTTGTTTTCTTCTTCTTGACAAAAGAATCTTTAACTTTGACCTTATGTCCGTTTAATAAATTCTATTGGTTTAGTATTATGTACTGCGCCATACAAATATCAAGTGGTTGATCCAGAAGGTATAATAAAAGCCAGTTCTTGTGTTGATATTGTTGTCAGACATACAGCAATTTTGGCAAATAACTGCAATGTGATAGATAAATTCAGGATACACATGCATGAATATCCTACTAAGCAGGTAATATAATTTATAACACCAATGATTGGCAGAGACATTCGTTCCAGTTCTAAATTCTATCCATTTTACTAGATAATTGGGAAAAGAGATGTAGAAGCTAAACTTCTCCCTGGAACAGTAGATACAGGGAGAATGACACCAGATCCAGATGTGTTTCAACAACTTCCAATAAATGAGAATAGACAACAAGAATCCTATGCACTCATAGGCCGAAATAAAACAGTAGACAGTAAGTAGATATTTGAAGTTCGCTTTAACTAAATTTGAATTTTTTCGATAAATTGTGAGTTATATTTGATATAGAAAAAATAAAATGATAGAAATTTTGTATTTCTATATTGCAAAATGATTTACATTTGCATTTACATTTACATTGCGAAATTTAAATAGTACATTAATGTGTGTGTGTGTGTGTGTGTGTGTGTGTGTGTGTGTGTGTGTGTGTGTGTGTGTGTGTGTGTGTGCGCGCGCGCGCGCGCGTGCGTGTGCGCGCGCACATGACGCATGCAAGAGCTAGTTGACATATAAATAAAAAACATATAAATAAATTCTTCATTGATATAGTAATGAAATAATTACTTTCAAACAAATTAACACAATATAATAGCTACAAATTATATTTTAGGAGGTACGAATTATGTAGCCCTTATTGCAGGAATTATATGCATAATTGGATTGCTTCTACCCACTGAGGGAGAACAAAATCGCAGAATGCCTGATTATTTGCATCTCTCTGTGAATTTCAAATTGATATTCTCATTTGTATTAGGTATGTATTTAATTATATAGGTAAATGTATGTAGAACTATAAGAATTTTTTTGTAGGTATGGTTGCGAATATCGTTTTAGGACTATAATTATTAAAGTTTTATACAATTGACAACTTTATACATAAGATAGAGGTTCCTAGGATAAAAACAATTATCACAAGACTTTATTACATTAGGCCTCTTTTCTTATAAAATGTACTTGATTCTAGTCTATGATAAATTTCAACATTGTATTGACTAAAGTAGGATTTGTTTTTGTAATTATAATTTTATAAATATATATATATAAATAACGATAAATATTTACATTATATATATTGTTTAAATATATATGACATAAAAAACATTAACTATTTATGTCATATTTTACATAAAAATATCCTATTTTAAAGTGAGATAGTCTTTAAGCGTATGATAAGAGATATTCTGGCTCGTGAACTATAAATTTCCAGGCCTACTGGGAAACTAATGTAAATTTATTATTGAAATCAAGTGATATATATATACCGAAGAAGAATTGTATATGTCTTTTATAAATGGCGTAATATGATGAGATAACATAAAAGTACTGTTAATGTTTATATCACTAGCTTAACTTTTCATCTTTTAATGTTGTACATATAATCATATATATATGTGTGTGTGTGTGTGTGTGTGTGTGTGTGTGTTTTGTGTATATATATATATATATATAGTGATATATCTCGCCATTCATAATATAATCATTTTATATATTCTAATTATCATGATCTCATGTACAGCTAAATAAGAGGGTCTTCCTGTATATAAAGACGGATTGAAATTTAAAAATATGATGGATAATTATCATTTTATTCATCTTTTATTATCCCTACAGTCTCGTTTACAATGTCATATGCATGATTTGATGAAATTAATTCACAATAAAATAACAAAAATTCCAATTAAAAATATCTCTGATATTTGAACTGAAGAAATAGATTGAGTGTGTCTTCTGATTTTTTTTTATACATATAGAAACTTTAGAATTAATAAATGATATTAAGTTTTTTAATAGAACTTTCTTCAAATTTAAACGAAAACTAATAAATATTAATAACCGGGCAATGAGAGAATTAATACATCGCGGTAATTGGAGTGCAATTAATATGTTGACAATTTCACATTAGAAGATTAAATATAAATTGATTGATGTGTGAATGTTTCTTTCAAATCATTTTCAGTAATTTGTTGAGTACAATTAATTTTCTTTCAATATGTTGATATAAACTTTCTTGGTCCATAGTTATTAGAATTTAATTTCTAAAGCTGACAGAGAATGAGTTTTTCTCTACTGTACAGTTGAAAACTGTCATTTTGTCTCTTTGCTGCTTAATCAAGTGACTATTAAAGAGTAATAATGTACAAATTTACTTAAATTATGATAAAATTATATAAATTTATATTTTTCAACTCATCCTGTACCTCAATAGATCAGTAATTCCATATGCAACATGTTACAGTGTAAAATTTTAATCTAATATGAAATATAGAAATATCGGTTGAAAAATCTTGATGAAAGTCAAATATCACCTATGATAACTGTCAAATTTAATCCAAGAGCCATGTCAGTTCAAAGTAATACATAAATTATTAGTCAAACTATTGTAATGTCAATTTTGCAAAACACAATTAAAGTGAATACTTAATGTCCCTATTTAAATTTTTCCATAATGAATAGTGCAGAAACTCCGTATCCGATTGTACGTTCAAACTATTAATTTATAATTTCAATTTGGAATTTGGAATTTGAATGTTTCATATTTCCGAAATTAACTTTTACTCCAATATTTTTTTGTAAGTAATATCACAATATTTTCCCATTCAAATTCATGTGTTCCAACGTATGTTGAGTGATGAATCAATGATTGGTTTTTCTATTTATGTGATTTTTGTGTTCATTAATTCTCTTTCTAATAAACGTCTTTTATTTATCTAACACAGGTTGCATCACAGTCATTACATTGGATCTTGTATACAACATTTGTGTTAGAAATTGGAGGAAGCTCTTTATAGATTTATAGGTTTTAATGAAGGCATCTTTATAGATTTTAATGATTTCTTTCCAATTTAAGACTAGAGAAACAAAGATTGTGTGAGAGAGAATATAGATATATGTTAATTCTTACATCAATCAATTTTTTATTTAATCTGACGTGAAATTGTCAACAATATATTATATTAAATGCATTCCAACGTGATGTATTAATGCTCTCATTGCCTGGTTATTAACATTTATTAGTTTTCTAGAATTAATGTTAATACAAGCAACAATCATTTCAAGAAACCTATTTTCGCAAAACTGGACAGAGATGCAATACATATTCATCTACTCATAGGATACACAGTCACAAATTTTTTCTTCATATTAAACATCATGGAAATAAAGACGTTTATTTATTTATTTTGACGTATAGTCATTATTAACATAAGTTACAACACAGATACTTATGATTGAAGTGTATCATCAAATATCAATGGATGTTTCCCAACATTTCACGTCTTTTTTACTTTTTTCTTATATGTGATCCTTTGGGAAGTATAATAAGAAATCGGCTGTATTTTCAGAAAAACGTAACATAAATTAGATAAAAGAAAAATCTCTCTTTGAATGATTTTCGATGTCAAATTGTTTAAATTACCTTAAATCTATCAGGGAAGTTTTAATATGTCTCGTTTTCAAAATTATACAGCTTTAGAGATTTCGATGTACATTCTTCAAACTGTCGTTGTGAGTTTTATATTCCATAGTGGCGGTAGGTGGAAGATGTAATACTCTTCTCAAAGTATCTCTAATTCGTGCTGTTATCGTCACATCTGACGCTGTTTTATTCCATACACATATTATATCCTCCTATCAAATTAACCAATTTATTCAATAAAAAAAAAAGTTTTTATATTTTATGTAAACTGAAAATAGGCATAATCTCTCGCCTACCTGAAATCTTATAGATACAACGGCGCCACATATTTCTTCTCCTACCATAAATTGTTCTCCTAATATTGCCAATATAAGATTTTCCCAACATCTAGAGACTAAACCTTTTCGTAATCTCACTATCCACTTGCCACCTTTTTGATTCGCTTCGTCCTAGAAAGAAGGAAACTGATACATAATATATATATGCAATAAACACAGTGAATGCAAAAAGCATTCTTGCAGGAAAAATTTTTATAAAAAAAAAAGCTTTATTTGTAGAAAATAAATTAGCAATTTATTAACAATGAATATATTGTTCTAATATAAACAAAATATATATAAACAAAAAAACTTAACGAAAATAATAGTGTTTATAATTTTAGAAGAACTTTTTCTTTTTTAGAATGATCTAAATTTTTCAATTGTATAGATACTTTTTGTGCGTCCACAATAGTACACTTTTTCATTTTCATCATTAAAATAATATATTTTAATTATTATTTGTTCTTAGATAAAATAATTTTACGATAGGTAATCTATTTTATGATTTGTTAATGAATTGTTAATTAATATTTATTTTTTAAAAATAAAGATTTTTAAGATATCTCACTTGTATTAATACTTTTTGCACTCACAAATAAAAAGGAAAAGATAATGCTTACCTCCCACATGGGTTTTATACCAACTTTGAAAAGATGGAAATCTGTATGTGTCGTAAGATCCGATGGTCGTACTAAATGACTGTAAAGACCCCAGAACTGCTCTACACTTGCAAACCTGCCGACCAATTTTAAATTTTGGTCGTAACTTTGTATATTAGTCTTGCCAGGACTACGCCGGCTATACCACAGTGCATAAGCATATTGTAATTTATGCTCATTTGGACTTATCTCTATTGAAGGCTATTAACAAAATATTGATATCTTCAGATTTTTATTGACGCTAATGTACTTCCATCATTAACAAGGTCTCTGTTCTACTCACTAATGGACTCTTTTCTGCTTTTTGATTATCCTTTGATTGAGACTCTTCATCTCCACTGTCTTCTGTGGCTTTCAACCTGTAAGTGCTATCATAATTGTAAATCAAACATAACAGAAATCAAATACCTCAAGCATTTGTTACATATTAATCCTCCAAAACTGATGTCAAAATCTGTAGCGCAGTTATTATTGATGTTGAGTCTGTGAAAACCTATATTAAATTATACTTAATTAATACCTTTTAGTTAACATAAATTTAATTCCATGTGATTAAATAACAATAAAGTCAGATGGATTTGCAATTTTTAATTTTGTGAATTTTATTATTTAACTGATATCTATATATATTTGTAAGCTCTTAAACTTTTGTAAGTTAAAGTAGAATACTGATTTTTATAATGTGTTTTACATAGATGATAAACTTAATGATAAATGATTATTGGAATATGATGAGAAAAGAGAATGATAAAAAGCAAAGACAGAGTAAAGATCCTAGATAAAAAAGAGACAATACATTAGACAATGATACAGAATCTGTTAGCTTACAAAAGAAATGACAACCTTTGATTCTAGTATTATTAACTCTTGATGTAATTTATAATTGATGATTTTATATTATTTTAATGTAGCTAATGAAGAATGAGAAAATGAATAAAGTCAAAACCTACTACTTATTATAGATAACTATTTATTATAGATCATTTTCAAATTTATTAGAATATACTAACATCTTTTATAAACTTGAGTTTGGCTTTTGTTTAATAGATTTTAATTTTTTAAATTTATTCAATTAATTTATAAATGTAACAAAGAATATATTAAGTGTCTTCAATAGGCCTATTATCAGCTCTGGAGGATTAATAAGGATGGCTTTAATAAATGTTGATTAACTTTAAGATGTTTTTTCGAAAAATATTATAAATTGATGCAACAAATATAAGACCTGTTCTTTTTAATTAAACTTCTTGCATAATTCATCTTTCTTGCATATAGTTGCTCTTTTTCTTTTCAACATGGAAAAAAAAAGAAACAAATAAACTATGCAAAAAATTTAGCTAAAAAGAACAGGCCTAGTTTCATTCTAACTTATTGTATTATGCAGAACATTCTTCGAAAAAAAAACCTTTAATTGGCAGAAATACTCTATTTCTAAATAAATCGCCGTGATCTAATCTTCTTTTTCTATTATCAAACAATAAGAAATCAATCATATTTACGTTAACAAAATAGATACCATATAACAAGATAATCGTTTGTTAAGATAAAACGATTGGCTCATAAGAGAAATCATAAATCCTAATCAATATTGGTTATCTCCTTTTCATTGTCGAGAGTTGAAATTGAAATTTCGCTCAGATAAGAATGCAATAGGAACGTTTATTCGGATCGACGTCCTATTATGTATAGGCCCATTTCTAATTAGATTCGATTTAATTTTAATCTTTCTTAATTCTTAAAACTAGAAGAAAATAAAAAGTAAATTAAACCGAGACTAAAGTTAATGTATTATTAGAAATGGACGCGCGTCTAACCTCGAAAAAAAACCTGTCCGCGATAAAAGCACTTACATTTCGAACTTATTGGACATGCTTGCGGCTACCGGGACAAAAATGCGTGCTCCAAAGAAATATTAAATCGTGTACGAATATAACAAAGCTTCGTGAAACTTTTTGACTCTTCACTCACACGTCAACTTTCACACCTGTAATGTTTTTGGTAAACTGTTGATCGTTCAACATCGGCAGCACTATGGTGAAATTAATACGAGGATGTTCTTTTAGTTAAAGTTCTTACATGATTCATTTTTCTTTTTCTCTCGCCGTTAAAGAGAAAAAGAGAATAGATGAACTTTGCAAGAACTTTAAAAAGAACAGACCTAAGGTAAAACTTCAGGATTTTAGATCCATCCAATTAACATTTTAGAATACATCAAGACGCTGTGTTCAGCGGACTTAATAATTGGGTAAATGCTTGATATTAGTGTATTTTTTAAATCATCCAATCAGCATTTTAGATCTGGAAAAATGCATCAATAGCAGCGAGCGCTCACTCAACTGTTGAGTCTCTTGAACGCCATTGGCTAAATATATAAACCAATCATATTGATAAATTTTAGATAATTCTTTAGAATAGTTATCTTCCGATTTCGAAATTAGGCTCATTCGACGCATTTTTGAAACGATGCGTAAAATGAAAGAATCTGGCAGAAAAAATCCGGAACTATCCTACAAAGTGAGTATATTGAGCGTAAAGCGGGGAGCACAAACTCTTGCATAACACATAACACGTAATACATAAGAAAATATATCAATCAACATCCTTTGTTTCTTTCTTTTCTATGAAATAAAAATCTCAGATTGATTAAATTTCTTATGCATAATATATGAGGCACAAGAAAATGAACCAATCAAAGTCCTTATTTTCTTCCTTTCCGTGAAAGAAAGGATTTTTGATTGGTTGATTTTCTTATGCCTCACATATTTTATACAAGAATCTGTGTTCCCCGCTTTAAAGTTGACTATTGAGGTTAGAAAATCTGTTACGTGAAGTATATAGATAGTAGTGCTTATTGGCTAAACCGAACAAGGAAAAGTAATATTAGGTGTGGGAAAAAGTTCATGGCGTTTTTCCCGTTACATCTAACGGGAAAAACGTCACGAACTTTTTCCCATAATACATTCTACTCGCTTAGAACTAAAATACTTAGAAGTCGCAGTCTAGACAGTAAAAAGACCGCTCTAAAAAGATTGTTCTCACACACCATGCACTTTCTTCATGAGTTAGAAATATTATAACATAGCCATCGAATATGCCAGGAATATGTTGTGTAATTTTTTTTGATCACTGATTGCAAAGCTGAAATAAAAAATGTGTGAAGTTAAAAATTTAAAATGGCGGATTCAATATGAAGAATTTTTAATTATCCCCAACAAAAGAAGTTATATTATACTGTTATATGGCTGTAATAAAACAGAATATAACAAGTAATATAACGTATTGATTACGCAACGTACATATTAATTAATTATATTAAATAATACATATTAATTAATTACGTGGATCGTTTGATAAGTTTGGTAAATTTCCATGAAATGGCGCTACAATCCATTTTGATGACACGACATCTCGAAAGATCCACTCTTCGAATCCCTTCAGGCCAGATTTCAGCCAGAAAGGACGCATAGTTCACGTTTGGTAGTCATTTGAAGTAGGCTGTCTCAAAGTCTACAAAATACTCATTGACGGCGACAATGACTTCCTCATTTGACGAGAATTTCTTCTCAACGCCAAGTTTTTAAGTTTGAGAACAGAAAGAAGTCACACGGGGCCAAATCCGGAGAATAGAGTGGATGAGGAATCAATTCATAGCCCAATTCGTAGTTTTGTCATTGCGGTCGACTTATGGGACGGCGCGTTGTCTTGATGGAAGAACACTTTTTTGCGCGCCAATCTCGCTTCAAATGACTACGAAACGTGAACTATCTTTTCTGAGTTACATAATCTCATTTATATATAATATCTCAGCAAACGAGAATGAATTGAAATAAATTGAAATGGATTCAGATTTTTCGAAATATTGATTCATGAATGTTAAAATGAATATTTTTCAATCCTAAATGTATGTTTATTCATTTATAGGAATTGAATAGAGCATATCTGTATGCTTTTCAATCTAAAAAATAATATTAGCTTTTTCTGTGCACAACACACACACACACACACACACACACACACACACACACACATATTGTGAATGCTGTTCAATTCAAAATTTTGAATAGGAAATGCAGTTTTTTAATCCAATTGAATCCAATTGAATTCAATTAAATCCAAAAAAAAAGTATTCGCTATTTAAAATACGCATTCGGATAAAAAAAAATTTCAATCCATTTTAATCCATTCTCGTTTGCTGAGTAATTCGATGTATCCCTAATAGTACAAACGTCAATATGTTGTAAGTTGTCAACTGTAAGTTGAATTGTACAGACATCTTTCCAATATCGAGGGAGATCTAGTCTTTAGGATATTTAGTGCGATTTTCGTTCATAAAGCTTAAATATGAAATCATTTTGTCCTTATTGTTTAACTATAGTTAAACAAGGATGAACAGAATGCTGTGAGCGTTGTGAATCGGACCAGTTTAGAATAGTTGACTTAAAGTCAGCTTACAGTCTTTAAAGTGGACATTATATGATTTAGAGACGTCTCCAAGTTGTCTAAAGTTGTCAAAGTCGACTTACGGACTTCATTTTTTTCATGTCTAGAAGTTATAGTCGATTCAGAGTCGACTTAGAGTCGACTTTGTGCTGTTAGGGATTTCTTGTCGAGTAATGGTCTAGTTTCCACCGAGGGTTTAATCCGGATCTGAATGTAAGAATCAATCAACTACAGTCGAGTATTTCAGCAGAACGACAAGAGAATGCTCGACTGTAGTTAGTTGGTTCTTACGTTCTGATTCGAATTAAACCCTCGGTAGAAACTAGGCCATGTCATGTGAGAAATGTCACATTTCCACTATGATGAAAACTATCCAATCAAGTGAGAGAGTAAATCACTTTTATCATTGGCTGAGTTCAGCAGATTCAGTACTTGAGTAAGTGCTCACTATTATTGGTGTATTCTTTTAGATCCAATCAGCATTTTAGATCTTAGAAGAATAATCCTTAAAATCCTTAAAAGAATAAAAAGAAGAATCTGTAGCAAGAATATATCACTCAATTCTTGAGTTCGCTGAACGCAGCCATGACACTAAAGTTTCGAGATACACAATCGACCTCCTGATCATATTATCTCCGCTTCATGGAGGTAGGAATCATTAATTAAGAAAAGAATTATGAATGCACACTGACTGCGGTCGATTTAAGTCCATTCTACAATGAGCAATAGCAGTAGTGAATTAAAGAATAGGCATAGAAATCAACTAATCATGGTTGATTATCCTTCTCACATTCGATTATGATTGGTTTGTTTTCTACGCCTATTCCTTTATTACTATTGCTACTACTCATTGTAGAATGGGCTTTAGACACTTTCAGCGCTTTCAGTAGTTCTATTCTTAAGCTGGAAAAACAACGAAAAGAACAAGTAATAGGAACAGGGAATAAAAGATTTCAACCTATCAGAAAGCATCCATTCTATTATTCTGGTTCTGATAAGTTGAAATCTCCTATTCCCTGTTTCTATTGCTTGTACTTTTTATTGTGTTTCCAGCTTTATTTTACGTTTAATAAATGATAAAGATAGAATAATGATTACAAGCACTTAAAGCGCGTGAACATCCAAATCGATCGCAGCCATCATGTTATCCTTTCTACCATGGCATGTATGTTGGCATCAGTTGGCATCACTGAAGAGATCCAAGAACCTTTAAAAATATACCTTTAATCTGTTAACAGTTAAATAGTTAATACATTAGCCATTTTTTGATCGAACTTCTCAACGGATCTCTTTGAGCGACCTGTCTGGAATAATCCGGATTTTTAGGCACTCTCAATTCTTTCAGAGAGAACGTGATTGAATGCACACGTCGGGATAATTGATAACGCCGAGTACATTCCACAGATTTGATTGAATCGTGCGTCGAGGGCAGTTCAATTAATCTTAAGTATTCTGGAGGTAAGCTCACTATACGATTCTCACTAGCCTTTAACCTTAGTATCCAACTTTTTCAAGATTTCCACGGACGTGCGCATGTAATCGATAGTTATTATCGTCTCTTGCTTCCTCCCATTGTCACGTTTTTTTTATTTGAAATGATTGAAACGAAAGAGAATGGCACGCCATTCTCGACATGTGAAATGAAATCGCAAAGTCATTTCAAATAGAATCATTTGTGAATTAATTATAATGGATCATTAGCGAATTGATTTATATTCTAATATAATTTGTATTGTATTAGAATATAAATCAAATTTGCTGATATAATTTGTATTAGATTAGTGCATAATAAAAACAGTACATATGCACAGAAAGACTATTCTTAAATCAATCTTAATATGTTCATATAAGCAGAAATATTAGGCTTGTTCTTTTTAGCCGAAATTTTTGCTCAGTTTTGAACAAATCTATTACAATCTTACTTGAGACATTGTAATTTTGATTTGATTGAATTACTGTAAGTATTACTTTCAATTCAGGACTTGCTCAATTAAAAATCTTGTACAAATTCAATCAAAACAAGTATTTTGAAATCAAATTACAATATTTTTGCTTATATATAAGCATTCTATGGCTAATTTAAGAATAGCTAATTTTTTTATCTGTGTGAAATTAGCAAAGTTAAATGTAAAAACATAAATATTTTATATAATTAAGTATCCAATAATGATATTGTCACATTATTGTCATATTATTTAGAACATGCATTTATTATTTCATTGTCGAAGTTGAATTATGCCATTACATTTAGATAATTTATATAAAACAGTCTTTTTAATGTGTATTAATATAGTTTAGTATAAATTCAATCAATGAATAATGAATTTTTGGCTGCACTAGTGTGCAGTAAATAGTATATATTAAAGTCATTACATCCAATGGCTTGATAGCGATACAACCTATATCATGATCCAAATTAGATCTACACTGAAACAGACTTAAAAATTGACAGGATCATAGTCCACACATTAATCCGAATTACATAGAGCCATCTCATGTTTTATCTCTTTCATTTACACTGAGAAAATATTTATTTTAGGCCAGGCTACTAAAAAAACGAGATCTGATCTAAAGCTAAGTTGGATCAGACACTAAGTATTTACAGCATGAAGCCTAAATAATTTAGATCAAATTTGGGATATAGATCGCAGGCTAAGCACACGATGTAAACATAGCCATTATACATTGATTTAATCTAAACATAAAAGTAAAATGCAAACATTACGAATTATACAGATTTTACTTAACTGCACAATAAAATATGAAATTAAGAATCTCATGATTTTAAATTTATATTAAATATTTGATTTTATATTTAAATATTATTATATCAATATTATTATATAAATATTATTATATCAATTTGTGTATGATGCCTTTAATACACTGAGTGTATCCAATCAAATTTGTTAGCAAATGCACTATATGATACATTGTATACAAGATCCATTACATAATCCTAAATTTATTGCATATGTCATCTACTTTTGTTTAACACTATCATATCATTTATACGTGTACACTTAGGTTATATAAGTAAAATTCACAAAAATTCCCTCACTTGTGAATGATTTTTATTTATCTGATTAATGACTATTTCTATTAATGCAAATTAATTTTAATCTCGACTTAATTTACTTTTTATTTTTTTTTATAGTTCTAAAAATTAGGAAGATAACAAGTAAATTAAAGTTCAAGATTAAAGTTAATCTATATTGGTAGAAATGAATATCAGATTGATTTTAATAAGCATTTAAAGTAGTTCCACTAATATAAGACAATTTTAATTTTGGTTTAATTTATCTTTTTCTATTTTCTAAGAATTTTGAAAAAGATATAAAAGAATAAAATTAAACTGAAATTAAAATTAATCTTACATTGATAGAATGAGAATTAAGAATCTTAAGAAGAATTAAAGAAGAATTAAAAATTATATTAAGATATTTGAAAAACAATAAAATAAAAAATAGTACTGGATTTATTAAATTCAATATTAAATTCAATATTAAAATCAAATAAAAAAAAAAGTGTTAATAATGAGAAAATTAATGCAATAGGAATAAAAGGTAGATATTTACAGTGAAAAGTAAGATATGTGAGGCTGTTGCTATATGTATGAAAAAAGATATTCAGAATGTAAAATGGAAATAGCAGTGACATAAAATAAAAATAACAAAAGAAAGATCAAACAATTATTATTTGCTCATGTTTGACTTTCTTTTATTTGTATTGCTTTGCGATTGCCGAGCTTGATATTAATATTTCTTTGGAATAAAAGTACAATAAAAAAAGGAACGAGAGTCTGAGAGTGCAAAATATATGTACCAAGATGTAATCATAACATGAGGATTCACAGGATCTTGTATTATATAATTTATTATATCTTATATACATATTTATTAAAGATCTTTTTTTTACATGAATCTAAATACACGTGTACACATGTATCACATTTAAAATCATAATCTCTAATATTTACACAATTTTGTAATGTAATTTCATGCTTATTGCTCATTTCTCTTGACACTTACAGATAATTCAGAGACCCTTACACCATGGTTAACGTTAACACAAGAGTATTCTTTGACATTGAGGTCGGCGGACTGCCTATGGGCAGAATAGTCTTTGAGCTATTTTCAGACACTTGTCCCATAACATGCGAGAATTTTCGAGCGTTATGTACTGGAGAAAAAGGACTTGGGAATACAACAAACAAACCGTTGCATTACAAAGGCATCGTTTTTCATCGGGTCGTAAAAGATTTTATGATTCAAGGAGGAGATTTCTCGATAGGCAATGGAACAGGTGGCGAGTCGATTTATGGTGGTACATTTGGAGGTAAATATATAAGATTTCTAGTTACAGAATCTTCATTTATCTTCATTAATTCTTCATTAATTTAAAAAGAAAAAATGAAAATCTGCCTTCTTAACAATCATTGATTCTTTTTACAGATGAAAACTTTATTATGAAACATAACAAGCCATTCTTGTTATCAATGGCGAATCGTGGTAAAGATACCAATGGTTCACAATTTTTCATGTAAGTACATTAAGATAATATGTAAAGTTATTATTCTCTATAAAATTGATAAGTGATATTTATACATACATGCATGTATAAATTTTACAATCTGTAAGTTTAATAATAAGTTTTACAAAGGTAAATTGAAACTAAGGTAAATATTATATACATTATGTTGTTATATATATGGCAAAATCTTACAAGTCTTTAGCAAGCAAGATATTACAACACGGTTATTATGTGTTTTCCTTGTATTAATAGATTTCTTTTTAGAGAATACTTTTCTGAATTTGCCTTTTCTCTATTAATAATTGAGCGTTTTATGTAAATATGGTAAATAAAGTTAATACAACATTTATATTTAGTTTCCCAAAAATTTTTTTACTTGAGTACATATAAATGTGGGAAATTCAAGCAATATGAAGCCAATTTCCAATTATATCATATGTTCCAAATATACACGATCCACAGATTTAATTGCATGGTAAAAGCAAATTTTAATTTTACACAAATGTACAATATTACTCCCATAATATTTATGCGGCGAACTCACGGCAAATGTTGAAAAAAACATAGGAATAAGAATCATTCTGGAGGAATGAATAACTTAGCGATGTTTTTGCGTAGTCGTGAGGGGGTCTGCACATCACTACTACAACACAATGACCAATGAAAGCTCTGGCTCTTTCTGTTCATCTCTCATCCCCTTAATCATATTTTGTTGTTGTAGTACAACACAACCAGCGCCTCACCTCGACAAGTGAGTATACATTAATACATATTGATCCTGAGATATTCTGTTTTAACTGATCATTAAAAATAATCCAAGCCTGCTTTGTTTAAAAGCCTGTTTGTCTATATGAAAATGTTTTTGTTTTCAGTGTCCATGTGGTTTTTGGAGAAGTAGTGTCTGGGCAAGAGATCATTACGCATATTGAAGGACTTCCAGTAGACCGAATGTCACGTCCATTACAAGATGCTAAGGTTGTGAACTGTGGCGAATTAGTCTTGAAGATCAAAAGTAAAGGTATGATCGTTTTCCATTTTTCAAATAAGTATAGAAAGTCAAATATATCTATGTCATAACGTGTATATGTTTGCAGTGAAAAAACGAGAAGCGAAGCAAAGTAGTTCAGCAGATTCAGAGTCTGATTCTTATGCTGATAAAACAAAGAAGAAAAAGAAGAGCAAGAAAAGGTATGTAAAGTGTACATCCGGATGTTCAATATTGCAATAATTACACTACCTTGTTTCAGTAAAAAGAGAGCAAAGTCAGAAGAAGGTGAGATTCGGGATTCTGAGGAAGACGATGGGAAACCTCATCCATTAGTATCCGTAACCAAAATTGATCCCGACGAAATTCCAGAAGTACCAGCAAATAAATTTTTATATAGGGCAGGGTCTACCAATAATGCAAATCAGAAGGAATTTAGACAGCATTATGGAAGAGATCGTGTACGATCTCATAGAAAGACTGGTCGTATTTTCAAGGGTAGAGGAATATTTGTAAGTGATTAATATAAATTGTTATTGAGGCTCCTGAGTAGTCATCATAGCCATATTGAATCGTGAAGTCAGTAGTTAGAAATGTCACGTTAATTTTTGTTATGTGCCATTTTGTAAATAAAGAATTTGGATAAAACAAAATGATGAGATTGTTTTAAAACATTTGTAAAAATGAACGAAAACTATATTTATTTTCCCTTGACAATCATTTTTATTGATAAATAATCATAAAAAATGATAAAAGGCATGTGTAAGCGAAAATAGGCTACGCATGCGCATTGAATAAAAGCACTTCACGTCTATTTTATTATTTTTTATAATTATTTATTTATTAAAGGGCAAAAAATAGCTTTCGTCCATTTTTATAATTGTTTTAAAGCGATCTTATCATTTCATTTTATCCAAATTGTCTTTATTTACAAAAAGCACGGAATCAAAATTAACGCGTCAGCATCATTTCTCACTTCTGACGTCACGATTCAATATGGCTATGGTAACTACTAAGGAATGTTTAGAAACCATGATTATTCAATTCATTAATTAAAACATATAATCAACGAATAGTTATGAATACAGCGTCAGATTAATTCAACTGATTTGTCTTTTGATCTTATCCATTTGCTACTAACTTTAACGTTATGAATGCACATTTATGTAAATTTCCAGCGATATCATACTCCTTCTCGAAGTCGTTCCAGAAGTATGACACCACCTCATTGGAAACAAGCTCAAAATCGTACTATTAAATTACATGAATTTCAGGTACATTTTAATATTTATATTGCTCACTACAACAAAACAACAGTTTGCTAAAAAAAAACAGGTTTCCAGAAAAACGAATCTCATTCAATATTTTTTGACTTATTAAAATTTTATAATATTCATTTTGAAATACAATTTTGATATAATAATTGATTGTAGAGGCATATATAAATGAAAATAGACTACGCATACGCATTGAATAAAAAAACATTTCACTTGCATTTTATCACTTTTTATAATTACATTTACTATCAAGGGGAACACTGTCATAAGAACAGAATAGTTTTCATCCATTTTTACGATTGTTTTAAAACGGAGTAAGAATATTCTCTTGTTTAAAGTATGTTCTTTTTTTCTTTATATGTATTTCCGTTCTTTTTCTACAAACAACTAAAAAAAAGATCATTTTTGAGTTATGTAGCAAATGAGCGATATGTCAAAAATATATAATTGTTTTGTGTTGTTTCATATTGCAGAAAATAGAAAAAGAGCGTCTTAAGAAAGAAGAAGAGTTTAAACAACGTGAAATTGACAGAATTAAGAGATTCGTAGAGAATCCCAATGAAAATGATCAATTGCCAGATCTCGATAACAATATATGCACAACGAAATTAATGGAGAATAAAGAGAACGATCAAGCAGATGAACCAGCAGTTATGACTAAACTGACACAGGATAATAACATAAAGAGAAACGCAGAGGGGAATGATATTATACAGAACAAGGAGGAGATTAAGCACAGTAAATATGAGAAGTCATTCAAACGTGATGCTAACCGTTCTTACAATGATAGAAACTCTCGTCGTGATTCTAAAGATACTAACAGAAGACGTGAACGCTCTCGCTCAAGAGATCGTCGAAGATCCAGAGAGAGAGATTATGATCGTAGAAGTCGTGATAGAAGAAATCGGAGAAATTATTCTCCTCGAAGACGAGATTCTTACAGAACCAACAGACCTGGAAGAGATAACAGGCATTATGATAAGCGCAATGATCGACGTCGGAATAATTCGAATTCCCATCAGGACAATGATATCAACTCTCGTTACGATAAAAATAAATATAAGAGGAATGATAATGTATCAGACACGAATCAAGCGAAATTTAAACGTCGTTCACAGTCAAACAGCTCCAGTAGTCGACACTCCAAAGATTAATCCGCGTCGTTTCACGTTCTTTTTTTCGCTTATTGACACCAATGAAATACTATTAAAGTAAAATTTGTGACTTATTTAAAATAAATATTTGAACGATTAGTTTATAATGCAGTACTTATTAGATATTTCATATACAATAATAGATAAGCATATACAATATATACATATGTTTCTGTGGTCTACACAATAGACTGTTTTTAATCGCCGCACTGCAAACAGCGCTAAAGCTTTTTTTTCTCTTTTATCAAAAATCAAATATAAGTCTATTATTTTAAGTACGAATGACACTAGTTCAACTATAAAGAATAGATTTAATAAAGCCGTAATCAGACTAGAGAATGATGACGAATTCGGCACACATGCACTCTGGTGCTGCCCCGGTGTAAATGCAAAATCACTTTGGTGCTATGCCAAATTGTACTGTCAGAAACGTCAGTGCAATACTTCTTGAATTTGTTCATTTATTTGGTTAGCCCAAATATAAATTCAGCTATACTGAATCAGTTTTCATTTGCCGAATATGACAAAATGGACTGATACAGTTCATAAACCGAATGTGTGGCATTGAAAAAGTTCGCACTGGGTGCGCACTAGTGCAATCTGCCGAATTCACTATGAAATTGAAGATTGGATTGGAATTTAATCAATCAGCAAAGTTCGATATATAGTTCAAAGTTCATAAATTTGAGATTGGTTTTCTTTTTTCTGAGTGATTAAATTCCAATCCAATTTCAAATCTCGAGTCTTTATCATATATATATATGATACTATGCTACGAAACTAAACTTTTTTCCATTATTCATATGGATATGTTATAATTGTGGGGATGTAATTTTTAATATAATCAATTACAATTAATTGTTATAATTATATTTGAATAATAAAGCATAAAATAATTAATACTGCATTATCTAATCGTCCAAATATTAAAAATCATGCAAATATCTTTTAGGTAATCAATTTGGGATATCTCGCCAATGCTATCGAGCATTCTACTATCGATATACAATCATCAACATATTTGCGAAATGCGAATTAATAACACCATAATAATATTGGAGCAATATATCTCGTTTTCGATTACATATTTGTGGTTGATGCACATGCTTTATCATTGGAATGTACAATAAGGTTTATCTACAACATTTACACACTTTTATGAGAATGTCTATTTTTCGCATCTTTATTTCTTTTCTATGTTGGATATGTATATTGTATTGGTAAATATTTTCAAAATATTTCTGTATGAAGTCTCTCCAAAACTTTTCAATATCAATTCCTTTTAGAATTCACATAATTCTGTTAAAATGCATGTATACATTTATATATAGGGTGTACAAAACAGAATGTTTAAAAAGTCCCAAGCTCTTTAAATATCTTGAGAAAAGTAAACATTTTTGAGAAAAATTTCAAAAGTTGTTTAAAAAACAACAGTTTAAAAAAAATTATTCTAATCACATATGTTTAATCTTGGATGGCGTTGCCAAGGTCAGATCGATTTTTTTAAATGAAACACTATTTTTTATATCAGAATCTAATAGCTTTTCAGCTTTTGTGGATAAGTCCAAGATATTTTAGCTGTAGGTTGGACATTGCGTTGGGTATTGCTAATATCGGCGATACTTTAACTTTCAACTTGAAAAGTACTTAATAAAAAATAACTTTATTACAGTGTTTTGAAAAGTTCTTGACATCAGCTATTAAAATTCTTGCATTAAAAATAGGATATTCCTTATTTTAATAAAATTGATTTGACTTTGACCTGACCTTGGCGACGTCATTCAAAGTCAAATGGATATCTTCTTAATTAATGGCATCTGCCTCTAATAAGTGTTTAGAGGTCAATACAATCAGATTGCGTTTCAAAATAGAAATACACAAAAGCGAGTTTGAATACTAATGCATCCAACACACCAGCGCGATATCCAATGAATGTACAGCTTTACTGATATTCTCATTCTAAAGGTGTACAGTAAGGTATAGGTTATTGGATATCATGTGTCGCGCGCGACGAACATCGCGCCGGAGCCATTAGACTGCGATTTGAACGCTCACGCGCTTTCGGATTTATCATAACTTTTTAACCTTAAGCCATAAGAAATGGATGAACACAATCGATTATTCTTCTCACATTCTGTTGTAATTGATTAGTTTCTTACGGCTTAAAACTTAAAACATCTATTGTAGATTTAAGCGCCTGTAATCATTATTCTGTCTTTATAGTTCATTAGATGTAAAATAAGAATGAAGGTATTGAAGAGCGCTGAAAACGTCCAAATCGACCGCAGCCTTGGTGAAAGGAATGTGATTAGTATATCCATCTTTTTAAACCTTACAACTTTTGTTTGAAATTTTTCTCAAAAATAGTTATTTTTCAAGATATTTAATGAATTCATTGACTTTTTGTACACCCTGTGTGTGTGTGTGTGTGTGTGTGTGTGTGTGTGTATATATATATATACATACACATATATATTATTATATACATATATGTATAAATTTGTAATAAATTACTTATTATACGTGATTTTCGTATAATAAAAAAAGAATTTTTGTTAAATAGATTTAACAATAATATCCATTATTCCTATATCAGTAAATTTAAATAGTTGTTTTAATTAATATTGTTTCGAATATATACCATGCATTATTTATTTAATATAATCATTTTAAAAATTAATAATATTAGCGATATTGCTACAAAAGAGCATTCATAAATTTGAAATAAATTTTAACATTTTTTTGGTTAATGCTCGTTGAAATTTAGAAAAAAATAGATTTGATGCTTTGTTTCCTACCAAGTATATACGTCGTAACAATGCTATTTTTTCAATTTGCATTTTATATCCGAGTAATTTTACGCAATTATATGCAGTATTATATTGTACGATGATACATATCACATTCATGTATCATATGATACATTATGTATTAGTAAATTATCGTATCATATTGATATTAATAATATATCATTATTATACATATGTATATATATATATATATATATATAT